TTTTTCTAAAATTAAAAAATAATAAATAAAAATTAAAAACAAAGAAAAGTTAAGAGGAGAGATTTATTTTTGGCTTGCTCATCATGGAGGCGGTCTGCATTTCCAGTGCATGATGCCAAGAAAAAAGCTTCCTCTGCCCTAACCTGTCATCACAGCTCATTTTAATACCCATCTCAGGTCTCAAAGCTTTTTAGGGGGAAAAATTAGGTCAAGACTTTCTAAGAGGTTCGGGGCACTTAGGTGACTCAGTCGGTTGAGCGACCTACTCTTGATCTCGTCTCAGGTCGTGATCTCAGTTTGTGGGTTTGAGTCCTGCATCGGGCTCTGCCCTGACAGTGGGGAGCCTGCTTGGAGTTCTCTCTCTCTTTCTCTCTGCCCCTACCCGACTCATGCTCTCTCTCTCTCTCTCTCTTAATAAATAAATTAATTAAAAAAAAAGATTTTCTAAAAGGTTCAAGGGGCCGAACAGAACAATTAACAAATTTATTTAACTCCACTTTTGTTCACTTTTAGCTTTCAAAACTCTGTAGACACAAGGCCAGATTTCAACAGCTCCCTACCGCACAAATCAACCAGGGTGAGAAAAATCTAACCATTTTTAATCTAAAAGAACTGATAACATAGGTACAATTATTTACCAGCTTTAAAAAAACAGAACGACAATTTGTGAATGTCTGCTTCTTTCTGCCATTGACAATGGACCACTGGTCTTTTTGAGAATGACCCTGTTGGGGAGATGAATGCCTGCTTTAACTATATTCAGGCTGTTGAAGTGTCAAAGGTGAAATTATGACTTGAAGGAAATTTATTAAGGTGATAAGGTTCATTCTACTTCATAAAGTAAAAAAAAAAAAAATTAGAATTAGGTTCTCAAGTCTTTTTTAAAAGGTGGGGTGTTGTAGTGGGAAAAAACATGAGCTCTGGAAAACACATTTCTATTTGGAAATAGAAGATTGGAAATTTATTACACACACTAGCCTGAGTAAATTACTTATGTTGTCTGAATTTCCAGTTGCGTATGTGTAAAATTCAATCATTTAACACATATTGTGGCAATACTAGGTGTCAGGCAAACAGCAGTGAACAAATTCTTTCCGTCATGAAGCTTATGTTCAAATGGGGAGAATATACAGAAATGAACACAGAAACACACAGGACAAATAAGTAGAAACTTTAAAACATACTATGTCAGATGGTAATGAGCACTAAGGAGAAAAATAATGCAAGGAAGAGGTCTCAAAGAACAATCAAAGGTCTCACTCAAAAAGATAACACGTGGACAAAGACGTGAAGGAACCCCAGAAGCAAGCCCTGGATATATGAGGTCAATAAAGGGTGTAGCATGAGCAAAGGCCCTGAGGTAGAAACAGGCCAGCTTGTTGAAGGAACAGTAAGAAAGCCAAGTATAGCTGATGCAGAGTGACAAAAGGGGAGAAGAGGAGAAGAGTAGAAAACGAAGTCAGAGAAAAGGAATAAGGAACAATTGGGCAAGGTCCTGTAGGGCAACTAGGGTATTATAAAGGAGTCTGACTTTCCCTCAGAGTGTGATGGGAAGCCACTGGCAGGCCTGGAACATAGGAGGTGCTGGTCCTAGCTTATATATCAGAACAAACATTCACCACACAGAATTACTTTGTGAGGACCAAATGTGATGTGAAGGCTTTACACTGAAAAGTACCATCAAAATTCAAAGCATACTTACTATATCACTAACTTTCTATGTGTGTTTTTATACCAGACAGCTTTGCCAAACTTCTGCACAAAACAGCAGTAAATACTGAGAGCAACTCTCTCCATCTCTACTACCCTGTATCTAAGGTCTTGGCTTTTGGTTTTATTTATTTTTGAGAGAGAAAGAGCGTACGCAGGGAAGAGGCAGAAAGAGAAGGGGACAGAGGGTCTGAAGCGGGCTCTGCACTGACAGCAACAAGCCCAATGTGGGGCTCGAACTCACAAACCGTGAGGTCATGACCTGATCTGAGTTCGGACACTCAACGGAACGAGCCACGCAGGCACCCCGTTTTGGTTTGAAATCAAACAACAAATAAGCTGTTATTTCCACCAGAAAGACCAACAGTGTGAAAACCAATCTCACCACTATCATCAAACCCAGCAATGACTCATGAAGCTGCATGTGCTTAACAAGCATTTTTCCTTTGAAGTGACTGAATCAAAAAAAGGAGGCTTCGGTGGCTGGTAGCAACACTCCTATTACCACAACGACCACCCAAACCAAATTTCTACTTTATTTCTTAATTACTGATGTATATCAAATGTACTTAGGGCAACTCTGCATTACATAAATGAAGTATGTTACAAGTGGTATTCTTAATACCACTGATAATAAATTATCAAGTAGCTAAACTTTTCATTATGGCACAGCTCATCATACACCACTATTTAGAGACAATTATGGAAACTGATGGCCTTGTTAATTTGTAAGGAAAAACTGTGCCAACCTGAAATGACCCTGTGGATGGACAATTAGTTCTGGGCTTTGCACTTTTCTGTCTTCTTGATAGTACTTTGTCATTTCAACTAAGCTTTGATTACCACTATCACGTGTATGAAAATAACTCTTTTGCCTTCACTATCTACTACTCTAAACTCCAACCCCACATAGCCATGTGTGGGCTGGCATTGCCATCTGATGTTCTGTCAGCAACAAAGAACCTCATGTAACTTTTACTGAGCCCTACTTTTACTAAGCACTTCAACTGGTGTGCTAACTTATTCTACCCTCTAACTTATTTACTCTCCAAGAATGTTACTCTTATATCTCCATCTTATATTTAAAGTTAAGTAACTAGCCCAAAGTCACATATTAAGAAAGAGAACCAAAGGCACCCGGGGGGGCTCAGTCGGTTGGGTGTCCGACTTTGGCTCAGGTCATG